ATCAACCCTCTCAGTGGAGGCCCAGAGACAGCGATTACAGGCTGAGTTTAAAGTCAGAAGTAGATGCTGGCCATCACTGTCAACCAACTTCCCAAGTGGACTTGTGAAACACTAGTGACAGCTCTACAACTGTTGTAGTCAGGGTTTGCAAGGGAATAGATTTAATACAGGACACATAATTTATAGGATTATTTTCTAATAATCACCCAAAAAGTCAAATGTAAAAGAGTGTAGGAGATCTGTCCATACACTAGAGACTCAAAGAATCCAGCAGTCCCCTACACAAGTCCAGCTGAAGATTTAGAGCCCATGGCAATGTCCTCCATGAGTCCAACTGGAGGCCTAGAGCCCTTGACAATGTCTCATGCAAGTCTGTGTCACGGATATGCACTGGGAAGACCCAAAGGTTAGTGGTGGAAGCTAGAAGGTCTGTACCAGAGGGATGAAGGATCTGTGCCAGCAGGCTGAGGGATCTGCACTGGAGCCAGGAAGCAATGCTCAAGATAAGGACCAGAGCTCTCCCGAAAAGAACCACAGCCATCCTCACTGACATTGAAGTCCTGAGCTTCTCCTATGATGCAAACAGCCGAGTTCATATCAGGAAAACCAGCATCACACACTTCTCCACTAGAATCAACTGCCTCCCATCTTCCCCTCCAGTTCTCCTTTTATGCTGTTGGCAACAGTCCTCAGGTGGGCCTTCCACACCCAGGACCGTGCTGATTGAGTTCAGCTGCATGTCACAAGCTGACTATTAGTGAATCCACCACAACAACTGTGCTCAGCTTTCCAGAAAGCCTCAGGTCACTTAGAGACCTGTCCTCCTCTGAAAACACAGGTAGTCTTTGTTGTTCTTCCTGTTGTACAGAGTTATGGGAACAAAAGCATGAGAAAAAACTTTGCAAATTGACATTTTTCATCAATATGACACTATTTATTATTTATAGTATTACTAGATTTTAGTAGTATTCAACATCTAAAGTATTTAACATTCAATCATCTATTCAATATGTAAGTTCAATATCTACTACTTGGATATTCAATATCTAAGTCCTAACATCTTGCTTAAAATGTGTAGACCCATACACACAATATTACCTCCTAACCAGAGTTTGAAAACATAAATTTAAGCTTTTGTAAATCAGGAATGAGTGTTATATACTTTAAGTCCAATTAAGTGTATTAGTAGATCTAACAGCAGCTTTGAAAGCAAGCATATTAAGCCACACTTTCTTGTGCTCTAACTCAAAAAACAAATTATGCTGGTTTCAAAAGTTTAAAAATAGAATGTATTAGTTTTATTGTACTATATCTAGAGAAAAGTTAAAGATTATTATTATTCTATTGCTAAAAGCTACACTGAGGATGGAAACTTTTATTCTTGTAATAGTTCTAAATCTGGGAGAATTTTTATATGGAAAACAGCTATGCAATGCCTCCCAAAGGCCAGGATGTAGTAATTCCCATTTGTCTTCACCTGGCTTCCATACGCTTTTCCTATCGGAAAGTCATCATAATCACTACAGTGACCTGATCACAGAAACACGGTGCAATAAGCACTTTAGTGATGAGACTGGAGACCTGAGACACATGAGAATTTATTCTTTCAGCAATTTTATTTAAATGAATTTTGACCTCCCTAAGAATCGTAATGTTAAATAAAATAGATGGCTAGAATAAGCAAATAGAGGAAAAAGTGAATTAAGGACTGATCTTCAAGAAAAGCGTTAAGAACAATCTAGGTTTCTGGAGCAGTTTGAGATTTAAATAAAGCCCTGTACGTTACTCTTCTCTAACTCCAAACATACAATGATATGTCATTCTAATCTTTCAGCAGTAGGAACTAGCTCTTTCTGTTTTCTGAGTTCTGCTTTAAATGCCCTTTGCATCCATTCTTCAATTTATCACTTTTTAATTCTAAGCACAGGGGTACACATTGTAAAGCATTAAAAATACAGATGCTCCCTGGCTTACACTGGGGTTACATCCCAGGAAGCCCATTATAAGTACACTGAAGATGCATTCAGTACACACAACTTACTGACCACCGTAGCTTAACAACACAGTGCACTGCGGAGCATCGGTTGTTTTCCCTCGTGGTCATCAGACTGTCTCTCACTGAGCTGCCCAGCATCATGAGAGAAAATGTTGCTCTCTCATATGGCTAGCCCAGAAAAAACCCAAATTCAAAGTATAGTTTTAGCTGAACATATGTCAATTGTGTACCATTATAAGTTTGAAAAATTTTAAGTCAAACTATCATAAGTCAGGTACCTTCTATATATATATCATGCATGTCTCTAAGAGCTACCAGTCTGTTTGGGAAGATGAACAATACACAATTCAATAAACATAAAATTATAACTGATTTCATGAAGAAATGGAAGCTTTTGTAAATCAGGAATGAGTGTAATATATCTTAAGTTCAATTAAGTGTATTAGTAGAGCTAAGAGCGGCTTTGAAAGCAAACATATTAAATCGCTATGAAAATGCAGCCCTGGAACCTGGTCCTAAAAGATGAAAAGGAGCCACTAGGTGAAGAGTGGAAGTGTTTCCAGCAGAAATAACAGTACGTGTAGAGCCCCAAAGAGGGCTCAAGGCTGGTCTACTTGAGGAACGAAAAGGAAAGCCGAATGGCTATAGCACCATGGATAAAAAGGAGCAGAACGGCTATAAAACAATGTTAGAGAACCAGGCAGGAAATGTCATGTGAGACCTAGACACAAATAGGTGGGATTTACCCAAAAGTTGGGGGTAGAAATAGTGCTGAAAAGAATCATTGCCTTTAACTATATATTCAAAGTAGTAATGTTTCACATTTCCTATTTCTAAACATTTAAAATATGGAAAACCATATCTTCCCCATATCCTTAAGTATTCTTTTCATCTCTTCCTTCCAAAAAAATTTATGAGAGTTTCCTTGTAGGCATCAAAAAAATTGGATCTTGCTGTTTTCCACAGTTTGACAAAGTTTGACTGTTTTTCAGATGATGTATCTAGACCATTTACATTTAACATAATTACTAGCAGGTTTAATTAAAATCTACCAGCTTGGTAGTTGTTTTCTGTTTATTCCAGCTGCTATTCATTCATGCAGAAGATAGGAAGAATGAATACGGACTTCTCTTGTGTCCATGGTTCTCATGGGTTCTCTACAGCCAGGCTAACCCAAAATGTCATATTTAGCTATTTGCTTTTTTATTTAGCTGAATTACCTCTTAACAGCTACTATGATGGCCCACAACTTCCTTGATGCTCCATTACAGAGGAGCCCATACTCACACCTTGTCTTTCCTTAAAGTCCAGATTTTTTGCCCTGCGACTTCAGCTCTCAAAGAGCACAAGAAAAGTTATGTTTTGTATACAGTCTGGCTTCTTGTTAGTGCAGGAATGACTCCTCCTCCAGATTTTACACCCTAGTTGCCTTAGTTTGGGCTAAGTTTAATCTTAGTTTGGGTTATTATAACGAAGTACAATCAACTAGGTTGTTTATAAGCAAACAAACGAAAACTATTTCTCATAATTTCTAGAAGCTGGAAATTTGAAAATAGGATCTTAGCATGACTAGATCCCAAGGAGGGCCTTCTTCCAAGTTGCAGACAGCTAAGCTCTGGTTGTACCCTCACATGACTGAAAGATAGTAAAGAGCTATCTCTGGGTTCTGGTTATGAGTTACTAAACTCATTCATAAGGGCTCGGGACTCTTGACCTAATTACCTCCTAAAGGCCGACCTGAAAATGCCATCACTTTGAAGGTTAGGATTTTAATATATAAATTGGGGACAGGGTGAGTGGACACAAACATTTTGTCCACTATACCCTTCTTATGTGAAGTTAAAGGTCATACATTATCAGGATGCTAACGCAATTTTAATTTAAATTTGAGTGCTTGCTTCAGCAGCACATATACTAAAATAATTTAGATATGACAGTTGCCTAAATGTAGTAAAATTCTATTCCCAAATGGAGAATTCTGGGAAGCATATAAATAAATAAATAAAATGCCCATCCACTGAGGAATGGATAAAATAATTGTGGTACTTTTATATAATAAATATTACTCAGCTATAAAGAAAGATAAACTCGAGGCTTTTACAGGTAAATGGCCACAACTAGAAACCATACTCATAAGTGAAATAAACCAGACCTCCATGCATAAGCAATACATTGTCTCACTAGTATAAGAACCTGAAACAGTGAATAAAAATTAGGAGGTATGATGGACATTGCGAAGTGAAAGGAAATGCTCAAAAGTAAAGAGCAACTGGGATGAGGGAAAAGAGAAAAGAAAGAAGGGGAAATTATGTATATATGTATATAGAGAATAGCTAGCATAGTTGTACTACTGACTTCTATTGCTTTACGGAAAGGAACAGTTAATGATTACTTATTTGATCAATCTTGTATGTCTCTGTTTTCCTGAGAAACCACTTTGAAGATATCAATATATAATACAACCATTGTTAATTTCCTACTATTTTGTCTGTAATTCAGTATTGCTTGTACTGTTCTTATGCTATTTTGTAGATGGATATCTGTTTGTTAAAAATAAATAAATACATAACTTGAAGATTATTTCTGGTGCTTTTTTTTTTTGTTTTTTGTTTTTCTTCCGGTACCAGGAATCAAACTCATGACCTTGCGCTTCCAGGCAGGCACTGTGCCACTGAGCTAAATCCCCAGCCCCATAGATTATTTCTTTAAAACAAAGAAAATATGATTCAGAAAGAGGGTTTTAAAAGGAATGGAAGAAAAGGAAGATTTTTTTAAAAGACAGTAGAAGATACAATGGTATATGAAATATGGTGAGAAACAAAATGATTTAACAAGATGGGAAAATTAGCACAATTGCTAAATTAGGAGTGATTTTGTTCGGTTTAAGGTTTCCTGCCTAATGGACTGTTACAAGTAGTACCAGGATAAAATAAAAAAATATGGGCCACAAGACTCAAGATGTTGCAAAGTGCTGGTTTTTAAACAGTGTCCTGATTTCTTCCAGATTACTCCAGGAAGCAAGGCGGCAGCTGCCCACCTGTGTCCTGGGGATGTCATCCTGGCTATTGATGGCTTTGGCACAGAGTCCATGACTCATGCTGATGCACAGGACAGGATTAAAGCAGCCGCACACCAGCTGTGCCTCAAAATCGACAGGTGCTCCTTCATGATGGTTAAATTTGATTTGTTTTGCAAGAGAACCTGAGCCAGAACTGCATACAACTGGTTTCATCCTCCTAGTGTGAGTGAGTGAGACAGGGCCTAGAATTCTTGCTGGCTTTTATATATTGATACACTTTATTCTTTGCTACAGCCAGTCAATCTAGTAGTTCTGGGCAAATCTTTGAGAAAGAATTCTCTGGAGTGTCAAAATAGTGAAAGAGGCCCAGTGAATTTTTTTCTTTCTCTACCAATTCAGTTAATTGACTATGAAAATAGTCATCAGCTATGTAAACACAGAATATGATTAGCCATTCTGAGGTTCTCACTGTGGTAAAGAATGGAATGAAATGCAAAGATGTTCCTAAAAGAATCTCTTCACTTAACCAAATGTGATCATGTTAGAATTGGTTGCTAATTTCCTGTTTGTCATTGGCTGTTTTGTACAGAATTCAGCCCATAGTATCACAAGGTATGAGAATGCATGTGCGTGAAATGTAATAGCTACTGAGACATTTCTGATGGAAAAAAAAAAAAAGAAATTTAACCCAATTTCATGTCATCAAAGCCCTGATCTAAAACCAAATCATGAAAATGACGATTTGGTTACAGTGGTTGTTTGCATGTTTATGCTGTTGCTACTGTATTTACCATCTCTGTTGTGGACAATCCACTGATGGTGTGGGGTGAAACAGTCTTTTCTTATTTATGTGTAATCTGTGCTTCTCCCAAGCACATAGTCCCTCAGGAGCCACAGCGTCCCAGACAGATGCAAGGAAAATGTTAGGCAAAGCGCAGTTCCTCCAGCCAGCAGCGATATGCCCTCGGCCAGTCCCTCCATGTCATCTCTGGTGGCCCGGGTACTATAAGAGGGAAGAAGGGGAAGCCTAGGAGTTTGCGTCCTAGTACCTGAAGGGTGATCTTCCAGAATCTCCCTCTTCTGCGCTATTTATCACATACATGGAGGCCTACTTTCTCCAGAAACTGCCCAGTGTATTCTGGTTAGTCTTGATGCATTCTAGATTCCCTAAAAGGATATTAAACAAGTAAGAATAATTGGATGGGAAAACGCAGAATAATAAGCAAAAAATAATCCCTTCTGTTTAAATTAGTAAGGCTTCCTAGTACTTTCACAAACATACTGGGAAATTAAAGTACACTACATGTGGAAGTACCGGTGGAATTTAGAGTTTACGAACTTTATTTTATTTACAGGGCAGAAACTCGCTTATGGTCTCCACAGGTTTCCGAAGATGGGAAGGCTCATCCTTTCAAAATCAACTTAGAGGCAGAACCACAGGTATGAACTCTTGAGTAAATCATAACCACATTGTATTTCCTTTTCCTTTATGGAGAGGCTTCCAAAAGGACGAAGTTGCAAACATAAAAATTGGAGCAAGTCACTTGATGAAGCGGTGGTCTGTCTGTACTCTGAGATTAATTTATATGATTCGTGTTTTCTTACACTGAGAAAAAATAGAAGTATGCCTAAGGGACCATCTTGTTAAAAGACAAGAATGTGCACATCAAGAAGAATTTAGCTAAATCTACAGAGTCCGCTAGCTTTTCCCATTTCTTACAGTGGACTTCTGCCAGATGGCTATGAGGTAATCTAAAAAGTCAAAGTTGTTAAAACAAAACAAAACAAAAAATAAGCTCACCCATTTAAAACAGGTGTTTCTAATCTAACAGTTACTGTGAACCTTGATACTTCAAAGTCTTCACCCATATCTTAGTTTACATCCTTTAGTTCTCGATTCTGGCATTCTATAATGAAATTTACCTTACAAAACAGATTTGTATTATGTTATCATGAGATATTCTGCCTGTGCAGCTGAATTACAGCAGATAAAGGATTTTCCCTTGCGGCAACTCAAACCCATGAATTAATTAATCTAATAATCTGATGCTTATCTGACCAAGTCTATATTCAAAAAGTCTAAAAGAGTCAAATCAAGCCTCACTGTGATAGACTGAAAAATCTAATTAAAAACAGAGCTTTAGAAACTCTCCTTAGAGGTACAGATGTGAATTTAATATCCCTTTTGAAACCAGTTTTCCTATTAGGGGATTAGATATTTCCACTGAATAGTTTTTCTACATATTTTAAAAAGATGACCTGAAAACATTTGCAATTCATGCTTTGGCACTGCTCCTGCTTTCAGGATCAATTCCTGAACTTGTCCTTCTTGCCTTCTGCTTGTCTCTGTAAACCTCTACATTTTTAATAGGTTACGTAGATGTAGAATAACATAAGTACAAGTATTTAACAGGGATTCTCAAAGATTTAGGTAACATTAACAAGCAAAAAACTTGGTACACTGAGTTGTTTACACAGATATTCATAGACCTCATTAATGAGGTACCCTCTACTCCAAGTTGAAAGCATGGCCTCTGTGGACATAGAGGTAAGAAGCTGCATATGTAATAAGGCTTCCTATCCTTGTTGCCGTGTATTAGAATGAGGGCGTCCTTACTCACTACTATTATATCATAACTGGGCTTCTTTCCTTATTACTATTACATGGGTCATTACAAATTACATTGGATCAAAGCTGTATTTTCAGTTAAAATACAGTCATCCCAGAAGAAGCATGTTGGGTCATCTTCAAAGGGCATGAGTGTAGGGTTCTTGTAATAGACTTTTGATGGGAGGGAAGGTACAGACTGAACCTAAAACAATACAAGGCGCAAAGGGAGGATCAAACGGGCCCCAGAGGGGGTGAGCAAGACAAAGAGCGTTCATGAAGTCAGGAACCACGTGTCAGCTCTTTCTCCTTTGCCTCTCTCACACTTAACTCATTGTAGACACTCAAGGAAAGAATCTGGAGGCTCGAAAGATGGGAGTGAATTCTCCAACATTGGCCAGAACCAGTCTGGGAATCAGTTCTCAAAAACTGTTCTGCCCTCCCGTCCAGTTGTTGGACTACCACAATGACCTTGAAGTTGAGCGGGAGGTTTAGGTCAGGTAACAAGCAGATGGTCTAATGAACGGGATGGATATAAGGTTGAGATCCCTTCCTGGAAATGATTAGGACCAGAAGTGCTTTGGTTCTCAAATTTGTTTTTATTTTTGAATATTTGCATATATGTTAATGAGAGATGTTGAAAATGGGACTGAATTCTAAACATGAAATTAATTTTTTAGATATATCTCATAGCCTCATAGTAATGTTACCCAGTAGTTTAATGCACCTATATTTTAAGTGCAACTCATCTCTTGAGGTTGGGTATACAATTCTCCACTTTTGGCATCAGTGTTCAAAAAGTTTGATTGCTCAAACAGTTCGCATCTTGAGACATTTCAAATTTCAGATTTGGGGATTAAGAATATTTAATCTATAAACATAGTGGTTTGTGATCTGAAAACTTACGGTGGCTCATTCTGGCATAGTAGGTGGCTTAGTGAATACTAACGCCTCTAATCAACATTTGGAAGATCGAAAGAAAGTCTCTCAAGGCAAAGCTATCACTCGTGTGTATCCCTTTGTCCTTGTATATCATTTGTATAAAACCTTCCTTCTCCCTCTTACACGCATCAGTTCATCACTTAGAAGCAACGCAAGACAAAAAGAGACTCTCTGGTGCTTTAAAAAAAAAAAAGGTAAAAGTAAATGTCTCTTATGCATGCATTTATTGACTACCTAAATTCTTGCAATGTGCAGAACAAATTGTATGGAATTCTGCATTTCTTCATCTATATACAGCACACATACAAAACTGTGCTGCACCCTTTTGCAAATTATTTTTCCATTCAAAATTTGAAATCCCATTTCATCAATATGAGATGTAAAGTATGGGACCAACAAGACAGATTTGATCAAAGTACCAAACCCCAGTGATGCTTAATCACGGCTGTGTCTCCCACCCTGGCCCGTCTGTAACTCAGAAAGTATTTATGAAGCTCGTGATGGTCTTAGGCAGTGATAAGAGCCTGTAAAGACAGGCTAACATCCTCAGTAATTGGAGGTTAAATGCAGTTCCTAAGTTGGACCTCTAGAGGAGGCCTCTTTTGCACATCAGTGGGCATTGATTTATAGCTATGGTTATTTTAAGAATTGGATTCTAAGGCTTAGTCCTCATTTTTAAATACTCTAATCTTTTGTCAATCGTATATTAGCCCATATGTCCTGGATTTGAGAGTTAAAAATATGAATATTTATGATACTATAAAAGGGTGAAGATTAGTTTAAGGGCTATAGCAATCAGAAGGAGCCTTTGAAAATTCCATTCTTTTGGGTCATGACTAATTCTTACTGGAATCTCCTTCATGAGACCAGTGTGTAATGGGCTTCAAGATAAGAGCAAATTCAATACTTCTAACGGACAGAATACTCTGTACTCCTCATGAGACTCTTGGGCCAGATTTTTGTATGACTAGTTCACAAAACTTGGTACTTCAGGGCAAACATTCTTTGTACAAAATAGCTAAATTTCAGTGGATCCTTTGTTATCTGAAAATCTTATGACATGAACTACAAAAAAATGTAGTGACAAAGATCGCACAGTAAATTTAACCTATAAACTGAGACTGGAGAACAGCTAAGTTATGATTACTTTTTAAATAACACAAAGCCATATATATTTTTTTTAAAATCCTAATGAGAACTCTGTAAATAGAGAAACTTTCTGGATAACAAAGGTGTGTCAGTGTAAGCAACAGATGCCATTAATATATGACGCTTTAAAATGTCATCGTAGGTAATTAGTAAAATGCATGAGTGTTACTTGAGTTCTTGTGTCTCATCTAAAGTCAGATTTTCATTTGTAAGTATTATGACTTTTGCTTTCAGAATAAAATACTTTTTCACTTAAAATTAAACTGATTTAAAACTAAAAACTTTTTATTTTAAAGAAAAAAATAAACAATAAAACAACGATATAAAATTTCAAAACAAGAGTAACAATGATTAGTACATTGCATATTGTCATCTTCAAAGTATAAAACTAAAAACTTAAACTATTTAAAAGTAATTATCTCTTTATTGAAAATACAACATCCTACCATATAAATCTAGCCATATGTAAAATATTAATCTATATATTTCTGAATTTTTTCCCCTATGTATAGATTCAGGCTTGGGGATTTTAATCTTACACAGTTATAGTAATAATTGATATAAAGTTTTAATATATAGATTTTTTTTCATTTTACCATATTATCACTAAGCATTTAAATTTTGATTTTATGAACTTAGACTTGAATCTTAGACTTAAAAAGGACCTTATTTAGATCAACTCCAAACAGTGGAAAAAATTCCTTCTATAGAATCCTGGACACTGTTTTAGTGAGTATGTGCTTTTTCTACATAAGGTATTGTTCTAGACAGAAGGTATGTTGCTAGCCCTTCTTCAAAGCTTACATTCTCAAGCAAACCACTACCCTCAATTTTGTTTAACGTTAATTGAACAACTCAAAATACAATGTACCTCTTTCAGTAGAAAAGATGCTTTTCAGAAACAGTTTATTTCTAAGCAAGAAAGCTGTTATCATTTTCACATAAAAAACTGCATCCTTGTAATAGAAAAGTTGATAACTCCAGTGTACTTACAAACCCAGTCATAGTTTATTTTCATAAGATTACCTTAATCTGTAATGTTCTGATAACTCAAAAGCAACCAACAGAAAATAAACTTTTATAATCACCATTTCCCCAAACTCCACCCACTGAGATATGGGAGACAGTTGAAGTGGAGCCCTGGAGAAAGGTGACTTCAAGGGTGACTTTATTTTTCATCTAAGGAATTAATGCAATGAAGAAATCATTGTTTATCAATTCCAAAGATGATAAAACAAAAAGCATTCCTCCATTGTGGCTTGATCCAATATATACTCACTTCACATAGTTTTTTTTTTTTATTATTTCCCTACCATTGGTATATGAAAAAAATATAAGTAATAGGGAAATAAAAACAAACTATGAGTCAAACATACTTTTTCTGATTGAAATGGTAAGAACTTGAGTCTTTATCTCAAATTGAGTCTTGAGTTTTTCGCCAAGTAAGAAATTGAAGGTGAAGGTCTTTGAGTGCTGTCATTGCTGCAGTCATTTCAAGGACTTGGGAGGCCAGCGTTAAGAGCTGCATTCTCGCTGGCAAGTGGAAGGTCATGAGTTTGATTCCTGGTACCAGAAAAAAAAACAAGAAAAAAAATTTTTAAAAAAGAGCTGCATTCTCTCAGTGTCAAGGGGTTTCTGTCAAGTTATGTAGCTTTTACTCTGGCAGCTGTACCATTTCATCAATGTAAAATATTATTCCTTAATATAAGCTTCTAGCATTGAAAAATATTTTTTAATTGTTATTTTGAATGATCACTTTTTGAATTCCTAAGAGATAAGACAAAACCATATTTTCCTGGGTAGAATAAACACAAGAGCTGGACTGTATTAACTGCTATATAAAATTTTTACTGGTATTTTCTGTTACTTTTGATTTTCCAAACAAAATTTAAAAGGAATTAAAGTAGAGCAGTAAACATTTGACTGGTTTTGTTCTTTTGATTCTGTTTGACTATCAGCAGTGATATAATGCTTGGACAGAATGCCGCCTCCTCGTGCCATGCTTAAATTTCTTGTTTACTTTTGCTGTATACACTCCATTGTACGTCAGGGAATGACTCTGGAATCCAATAAACTAATGCTTTGCAAAGCTTACATAAAAATGTTTGAATGCTGTATCAGAAAGATGTCCTTTATGCCCTAAACAGAAAGTGGAGGGATTTTCTTTTAACAAATTATACAGCTTTGACCTTTGCAGTGTATGTAACCAAAACTGAAAATGGCAAAAAAAAAAAAAAAAACAAGGTTGGAACTGATTAATTTGTGTGTTGCTATTTAGAAATACCACTAGATATTGTGAAACACAAACATTGTCAGAGAAGATGACTCACTTACAGGACAACACCATCCACTTTGATGCATCATTTTAAGGCTAAGAAAAAATAAAAACAGCAATTTTTTCCAATAAAGCCATCATATTATTTTAACAAACTATTTTAAATTTAATTCTTTTTATCAAGATTTTTAAGGCACCTCATTACTTTGTTTTCTTCCTTTTTTTTAAAGAAGCTGAATTCCACAAAGCTTGAGCAGTTCAATCCTACCTGATTCACTTTTTAATTAGCCTGAAAGATACACAGTCCACCAAAACAAAATTAGGCAGTTAGCCTTCTGTCTGTTTCATGTCAAAAAGAATTACAAAAGCTTGACTCATGACCACTGATATTACTTAAAATAATTTCCACTTCACTTTTTTCATGCCATAATAATCATGGCTAATTATAATGGTTACTCATAAAACACAGCTAATTCAAGTTCATTATTAGATCAGTGAAAACAATCAGATTGGGCCACTATGTAAATGTTTGGCTGCATACATTTTTACATGTTCTGAAATTCAAAGCTAGAGCATTTCTAAAGCTACACTTGGTTGTTTTGTCATTCTGCAGCCAGTCAGCCAGCTCCTTAGCAGTGAGCCATTACTATAGCGGGAAAAATTCAAATGAATAAGATACCAATCAACTTGATCACACTGTGGACTCATGAGTTAAACTGTACTCCACTCAAACTTTCTTCTCAGCTTCGCAAGACTGTTAACACACATTGTCCCAGGTTGACAGTGCTCTTGATCACATCACTGATGCTCAGATACCAAGATTTGGGGTAGCTGGAGAAAAGACTCAATAGGCTCGTATTTGATCTGCACCAATATTACCCCGTCATAACTACTTACAGAAAACAGACTGCACCATAGGCAAGAAAGATGAACGAGGGGATATATGTAAGGACACCCTGCTCCAGAGAAGCAAAAACAAAGCATTTTTCAGCCTGGACCTTTACAGAAAGTTGCTCACGTTCTCAGGCACGAGAAACTCTAAGAAAAACAGGTCCTGCCTCTAAGAAAAGGAGTCTCTTTTCTTATTTATTCCTCCTCCTCCTCCTCTATTTCTTTATTCCTCTCTTCCTCCTTTTTCTCCTTCACCTCCCTCTTCTACTTCTCTTCTTTACAGTCTCTTCTCTAACAGAAACGCAGCATCCCACAACTCAACTCACCTGTAATGACAAGAAGGAAAAACATGATGTCGACACAAATATTGCAGGGTTATAATTGGAGAAAATCTTCTCTTCCCAGTAACATCTCAAATAATCACACATATGTGTACTATTTCTAATCTGTTTGCAACAGTGGTAGCACACGTACAGAAGTCCAGGAAGGTGGTGTGAATATGGGGATGAACGTGCTGTTAAAGGATTAATTGTGCTGCTTTTGCCGGTTAGATTCAGAAGAGTCAGCTCGTGTGCACTGTAGCATTCTCCACTGGTGCTGTGTGTTTATGTGTTGCTTAGAAGACCAGAAACAAACAAAAAAAAAGGTTAATGCTTATATAAAATTATACATGTATTCAAAACTGAAAAACACTACTTTTACACTTAAAATAATAGTACAGAGTTTTAGATCATTCAGGCATGTTTCAAACTCAAGGTTTGAGACTCTGATGTGTGGTCCTATTGCTAAAGTAGAAATTCCTTGGAATCACACACATTGTGTGTCTCTGACTTACTGACTTACTCCTCCTAGAAATAAGTAAAATAAAAATTCTTTAACCACACAATATGAAATCATCAGAAGGCAAAGTGTTTTTACATGTCATTCCTACATTCATAATTTTATTAATCAAAAATTAACATGATGCCTACCTTGAACTCTTTTCTAAGTACTTTTTTCTCTGTTTTTTCCCTCTTTTTTTTTTGGTTTTGTTTTTTATTTTTGAGACAGAATCTTAATATGTAACCCAGACTCGGCTAGAACTCACAATTCTGCTGCCTCAGCCTCCTAAGTGCTGGGATTACTGTTGTGGGTACTTTCTGAAAACAGAAATTTTACCTAGGTTAGTTAAAAAATTCTATATACTTATTTATAAATGCTCATTCTCCTTCTGTTTGAAGAAATAGCAGAAATTTTATAAATTTTTTTCTGCTCCTTAATAGAAAACATATGTAAGTTCTACCTGAAAAAATTCTAAGTGTAATAATTTTTTTCTGAGCCATAAATCTCATTTCTGACACAAATTTTCAATACTCAAGTGAGTCATTAGAATTTCTTAAAATTACTAGATGAAGTCAATGGGGGGCAGACAAGAGATACAATGTGTGAACCCTACTGGAATTTTTTTTTTTTTTTTTTTTTTTTTTGGTTTTTCTCCGGTACCGGGAACCGAACTCACGACCTTGCGCTTGCCAGGCAGGCGCTTTTTGCCGCTGAGCTAAATCCCCAGCCCCTGGAATATTTTAAATAAGCTCAATTCCTTTGCATCATAGCATTTGGTAGATGAATAAAGCTTATGTGAATTTCAGAGAGAGTGGTAGAAAGAATTATCCCTAACTCTTCCCTTAATCTTGCCTTTAACGTGGTGTTGGGGTAAAGATGCCTTTATTAACAATAGCAGTGCCGCTAGTTCTGCTCTTTAACGGCGTGTGCACTCTGTGGCTGTGTGTATTTTGTCTGCCATTGTACAGGAATTCAAACCCATTGGTACCGCACACAACAGAAGGGCCCAGCCTTTTGTTGCCGCAGCAAACATTGATGACAAAAGACAGGTAGTGAGCGCTTCCTATAACTCACCAATTGGGCTCTATTCAACTAGCAATATTCAAGACGCGCTTCACGGACAGCTGCGGGGTCTCCTTCCTAGCTCACCTCAAAAGTAAGTATTGGACTCTGGGTTCTGCCCAGTGTGTTCTTGATGGTGATAGAATGGTTTCTTTTCCTTTCAGAAGTCCAGCTCTTGTTGTTTTCTTTTTATTTTCCTGAAGGCACTATTAGATTTTTATTTTTAAAGACGAGCACCTAGAACATGCTAGTTCTAGTTGTTCTGCAGCCTGATCCGCCACTTCCTGAGCATTTAGATAAAAAGAAAAAATCACTCTAGTTCCGTTATCACCCTTCTTAGTCATGTCAATAGTTAATGGTAAATAATTCTCTCTGTACAATTATCATTCATTTAACTTTGTTGTAAAATATTGCTTTTCCACTGAGGGACTTCTTTAACCCTTTGTTTTCGCAGGATGTGAACTACTTTGAACACAAGCACAATATTCGGCCCAAACCTTTCATAATCCCAGGCCGAAGCAGGTCATAAACCCTGAGATTGTGAAGTTTGATGTGCATGCTCCTTTAATCAATTCCTACTAATCACCAAGAAAAGTAACTTTTAGGTGTTTGGAATGCACTTTGACACTGTGAGGCTTATTTCAAAAGCAAAAAGAAGCAAATGCACTTAGCAGAGAACAGGGCCAAATCACCTCCATTTCTGAGAGTAAATAGAGACAAAATTACAGAGCTGTGAAACTGTGTGCAGTGACCATGTGTATTTCTAACTAGTACCCTGCTGTTGTGGAGATTCTATCCAGAACACAGTGATCATTGAATCAGGCAGATATGCTCCAACCCAGGTCAGGAAAGCCCTTCCAACAGGGACAGAAATGGAAACCAAATTCAGTCAGGCATAAGGAAGGCCACGGGGCACACGTGAGAAAGCTGGTGTTCTTTATGTATTCGACACTCTAGTCATCCCACTTCAGTACCTGCTTCTCATCAGACTATCAAATCCCGTTAACTCTAGCCATTACATAAAAATAAATTTTCATTTTTATGGATCCTTGCAAATAAAAGAGGCCTCCTTGTAAAGAAACTTTTTCACTTGATTGAAAATAAGTATAAAATAACAGTTAGGAAGGAAGCAAGTATACTGGTTACCCCAATGGACAAAGCTATAAAATTGTAATTCTAATGAACCAAGTCTGGTTTCTTGTCTATCAACCAGATAAAATGACTATTTCTAGATGATCTTTTTCATATATCTCTAGAAATTTAACCTCAATTTACAGAATAAGAAATTACAGTAATGCCCTGTACTGCTACACTGGGCAATAGCAACTTCAGAAAACCTCAAACCCATTGCTTTGATTTCCACTGAGTTAGCCTAGAAAAAGGAAGTTTGATCCTACCAGATTAGGAACAGTGGGTAATAAATTATATCCAGTTCCAAACTCGTGGCCAACAGCAGGCTAATTTTACAAGCTTGTTTTATTTAACACTATTGTTTAATTTTTTAAATTTACTTGTCTTTAGATGGGGCTTATAAATGGCCATGACACATAAGTGTAGCTGCTGGCCCGTTTCCACATGTGTGTGACTCTCCCTCCCCTCAGACACCTAAGCTTATGACTCCAGCTGTGGGTCACTTGAGTCATCACTTGATACATGCTTTCCTTGTGCAGACTTTTCAGGAAGCTAGAGTAGACCTAAAAGATTGTCTCAAATTAAGCCAGGCAGTTTTTGTGATATCAGACCCAGAAGGAGCCCTGGAATGGAAGAACATTCCATTTCTCCTCCATTCCAGTGGAAGAGAACATTGCCTGGAAGGGAGTGACACCCCATGCCACCCCTGCCCTAGAATGTAAGCTCAGTGACTGCAGGCTCCTTGTCTGACTGGTTCCACATTCCCCACACCTAGAAACGAGGCCAGGAAAGAGGAATAAATACTTAATAAACGTGCACTGGGACAAAATCCTAGATGTACCAAGTAATATTTCCTCGGTGTATGGTGAGAAGGGCTGGGAGTTACTGTCCCTCCCTCGTCCTTGCAACTCTGCACCAACCTCTTTACTTCCTTTTGTTCATTCTCTTGCTCCCATTCTGTGTTCCTCTGCGTCTTTTCCCTTTTTTTTTAGTTTGAGGTGCTTCCCTGAACTATCACAACTTCAATAACATAATAATGTCACATTAAATATTAAAGGGCTATTTTACTCTTGAGCAAAATTCCTTTTCAGACAGGCATAGTGGCGCACATCTGTAATCCCAGCACTTGGGAGGCTGAGGCAGGAGGATTGCTGTGAGTCTGAAGCCAGCCTGAACTGCATAGCAAAACCCTGTCTCAAACACACAAACACACACACACACACACACACAAAACGTTCCCAAAGAAGCATCATAAAATTATTAGTATACTTGCATTCTTTTGAGTTTAACATGACTACAAATCCATTAACTCCCATCCATAAGACTTCAGGGTGCTTGAATAAAGGCATGCATTAGAGAAATATGTATCCTGCCTTTGTTAAACACATTTAATTTGATAAAAATTCAGAGAAATAGAAACCTATGTCTATAATTCTTTCTTTTATGTTTTCATTTTAACTTAAAAGTGTGATAAGGACAAGTCACTCACAACTTTGTCATTTAAAGGCATCTTTTTTACAAAGCTGAATTTGTAAGAGAGGAGGAAGGGAAAGAGGAATGAAAGGATTTGCTTTAAAAAAAAAAAAGATGCCAGTGCACTAATCCTAAAGAATCACAAAGCTTCTCCAATCCTTCCTTTCTTTCTGCGCCCTCATACTATTTGCTCTAGTTTCTGAACTTCTTACTCTCTCAGAATGATTCTTCATCAAGGGAGAATCTGGAAAGGCTACATGCAAACTACTACAGAATTATTAATGGACAACTTGTTTAATCAGAAGTAAATTGAAATACTGAATTTGTACTGTGTTAATCTCCCTGATATTTTGCTACTCGCCCTGGCTTCCATCACAACTGAAGCATTCTTTTTATGGGTAAATTTTTAAAGCTGAGGCTATAACTAAAAATTTATACAAGCCATTAAAGATCCAAATACTGAAATACAATCCCTGTGTGACTTTTTGGAGTTCTATCTAGAAGTATACCCTAAAAAGTCTGTAAACACCTCCAGAGAAGTCAGTTCTCTGTTGAATGATTCTGGGCATGAAGTAATTGAGTGCATCACCAGCTTTACAAGTGGTCTTTCTAAATTGCTGAGTCCACCTCAGAAAATCTCATTATTTCCTATATTTCTAAGTCATAGGAACAGATCGTGGTGACCTGTAGTGATAACCACTGTGACTGGAGTCCAGGAAGACTATATTATTTATAAAAGATCAAGAGATCATGTCAAATTGTCCCAGAATTTTATAAAAGGTCATTCTTGTTGGCTTAGGGTATATTTTCCATCCTCTAAATAGACATGAGCCACTATATAGAATGGTAAAGGAACGAGGAAATAGAATATACAGCTCTTGCTTAACAGACATGCTGGTAGACAAGAATACTAATAACAGAAAATGACTACGAAGCACAGTCACAAAATAAGGCATTTCTGTAAGTTCTAGAGTGATGCTGGTATCCATCTGCCTGGTAATGAGATCAGAGTAATTCTAAATGGTGGTTGAATTTGTTCACTATTTTGAGCTCAGAGTGTCCTAAGATGTAATTCAGTATTTCAACTCCCTAAAATTCAATTTAATAGGCTTCATTACAGTTAGATCAGATCAACATTCTCCGGACTAAAGTGTACTACATCTAAAAATTAACTTCTGTGCTTTTACTAGATGAAGTCAGTTGGAGAGCCAAGTTAATGTTGAGCCTCCAAAAATGGTGAATAAGGTCACTTGGCAGTGTGTCATGTCATTTAACCAGTGCACAGATTGAGTTTCAAACAGATTCTCAACAGCCAGTAAATAAAAGAGCAAGTCCCTTATTCAGGCTGTGTAGGCAAATGAAATGGGTAACACAAAAGTTTTTTTTTAATGTTTTAAATCCATTTAGAAACAGAAGCTGTACAAACTAATCAGGCTGCAACACTGATAAATTAAAAAGATACAAAACACCACTGCCCGCTATTTTTCTCAGTTTTGCTGTCTGTGGGACTGAGGTTAACATTAGTAGCCTTAGAGAGTAAATGCTAAGTTGGGTCAGGCTTGAGAGAATATTGACTCTGAGGTAAACACATCATCTAGATCTACTCTCTGTCTTAAGTGTACAGTAATACTAACTAGCAGGCATGATAGAGATTTACAGTAATATTAATATTTCTTTTTGCTTTGTTTTAAATGACTGCTTTTTAAAAATCTCTTAGCATATTCCATTTTCTTGCAAAATGTATCTCTCATGCTGCACTTAAAATGCATGTAGCAGGCTGAGGTGTAGCTCAGAAATAGAGCAAGTGCTTAGAATGCATGAGGATATGGGGTCAATCCTTAGCATAAATAAATAAGTACAAATAAATATCTGCACTTGTGACTAGCTTCCTATCCAGTTTCATATAGAATATGAAATCTCCTTAGTTCTTAAATTTGCATGACTGGCCTTTTTGATATTTTAATAAATCCTTACAACTAATTATTTTAAAGAAAATGAGAAATACGCATGGAAATATATGTGTGCTCCAACAAATTTACATGAAATACCTATAGAAAAGGAAATATAGCTTAGCCTGATGGTAGCATCCAAATAGCCTGAGATTACCTTTTTTGCTCTCTAATCATTACTTTCAAGGTAACAAGTATTTATTGACTGTTTCTAGATCTTATCATAAGCTACACAACAGTTTTTTGAAATAAAAGAATAAACATAAAAATAGGGAAGCCATAGCATAAAGTATTTTCAAAATAGCCTTAAAATATAATCTTTAACTTACCGCCTACAAGTTGCCAATTACCATTCAGTTAAAGTTCAACTGTATTCTTGAAACATACTTCTTATTTTAAAATGTTCCTCTAAACCTTGGGTTGAAACTTTGTGCTATACATTCACTTAGCATTTGTAAAGAATCATTTATTCATATTTTAATTTTAAGTATTGTACTTCCAAAAATACAAAATGATACCCAGTCAGTGTAATTTTATTGGTGATATTGTCACCAATAAAGTTACTAGGCCTATTTTTTTAAAAGTAAGGATAGTTATATTTCATCTACTTCCTGTACAACTTTTTCTGTAAGTGACCCTCAACTTACCAGTCACCTAGTATATAGAGCCAACAAACGCAATAGCACCTGCATCTTTTACTTCTATTAAACTTTCTTCAATCATGAATTTTTAAACATCACCCTTTTTCAAAACAAAGTCCAGGCAGTGTTTTAGTTCAATACAATTTACCTCTGACTTTTTGTCTTCAATTCCTTTTAACCTCTCTGTACTTCTTCTCTGTGTCCTCTGGTTCCTTGTGTCATCTCTGTGTAACGTGGTCATTAACACAGTGGATGCAGCACGCCCTCCGGTATTGATGGTGGCAGTGGACGTAGCACCCCTTCTTCTGTCAGTACTCTTAGTACAATTTGTCCAGGTGACTTGAAAGTTGCTGCTAAGATGGCCCCTAACATTCCTTTGGAAATGGAACTTCCCGGTGTGAAGATTGTACATGCTCAGTTTAATACACCTATGCAGTTGTACTCAGATGACAATATTATGGAAACACTTCAGGGTCAGGTTTCAACAGCTCTAGGGGAAGCACCTTCTATGAGGTAATATGAGTCTTTTTTGAACCATGGGCATATTAACTAAACATGTGGGCAATGTCAGCTTTCATGGTGTGTCTTTATCATTGTCTTAATGGAAAGAAAGTTATGTGAAAATCTTTGAAGAAAAAGTACTGAAAGTTTATTGCAGATATCGAGACCTGATGATAATTTGAGGAATTATCTACGTAGAATAATGTGGGAGATAGCAATATAATGAAATCATACAATGACGAAATGTGTGTGTAGTTTAAAAGTACGTTGTATTTTACAAATGTCTGATTTAGTACTTCTCATAAGTGATTTATAATCTAGCATCTCCTATGTCTGTCTTTGGGGGTCAAAAGTTGGGAAGGCAGTTGGGAGGGTCAGAGGATTTTTTATGATACCGTGTCTGTCTTCAAAGGAAATGTGTGGAGAGGTAATTATTTTTCCATTTAAAATGTTTGTCTTGAATAGTTTTACAGATAAATAAATACCTCAGTCTATTAATATGGACATTTAATTCCTTTTGATCTTTATTTTGACTTTTCTTCTTTATTTTGAGTATTTGCCTCAAGGGCTTTTGCCACCAAGATCTTCCATTTAAGATTTATTATGGAGTAAAATCCTATTACTTTCAATATTGCAGAAACACTTTTTATAAATTGGTGTGATGATTAAGAGTAATGTGTAATAGTATCATAAAAATATCTCTAGATGAATACATTGAGTTAATAATAATGTATCTAGGTCATTTTTCAAAGTATCTCATATAAACAAAATGGTTATTTTCATATATATAGATACTGAAAGTATATGCCGATAACTATTGCTTCTAAAAAATACAGTTAAATAACATAAAGTAAAAAGTACTTAGTGCCTGAGAAAGTGGTATTATGGTAGCATTTTTATTCATTATGGATGTACTTATGGGAAGCATGTTAAGTAAAGCTGCTGTCATTACTATTAATGAATTTTAGTATGGCTATTTCAGAAATATAAGATAATCAATCTAATATATACATACAGAATCCACCAAAACAAGTATGCACACTTCAGCAGTTTGCCATACTAATAAATGTCTAGAAGCTAATAGCCACCACTTTGAGCACCTCTTGCAATTGTAAAGGACAAAGGTAACATGTTAATCTCATCATGTCTCAATAAATTTAGTATTAATATATTTATACACATTTTTCTTTTCCTGATGTGTACATTTTTTGAAGGACTCTGTTGGTAAAAGTTTCCATATATTTTCAAACACTGACAAATTGAATTTTATCAATTTTTAAGTTAAATGATATCTTTGTTATTTCTAGGACTTAACAAAAGAAATTAATTTTTAAAATAATTAAGCAGCTGGGCGTGGTGGTGCATGCCTGTAATCCCAGCACTTGGGAAGCTGAGGCAGGAGGATCATTGCAAGTTCGAGACTAGCCTGGGCTACAAAGTGACCTCAAAGCCAGCCTGAGGTCACTGCATAACGAGACCTTATCTCAAAAACACACACACACAAAATATACAATTAAGCAATTTCCTCCTAGTTTGATATCAAAAGTTTATCTAAATAAAGCAAATCTATTAAAATTTTCCAAAAAAAAAATACAATTTTCATGTCTGCCAATAATCAGATTGGGTTAACTCCTGCACTGTCATGTGTATGTTGTCTTTTTTCTGAGAACAGTTAGTTTTCTTCACAAAATGATTGTGTCATAAGGCACAAGTCTTGTTTTATTTTTTAAATTACCATTTTCAACAATCATTTGTTAGTTTTCTTCCAAAGTATTTTGTTCCAAATGGATAGTGCTGATGTGATCTTTAGGTTTATTTCTCAATGACATTTTTAAGGCATCCTACCTGAATTCATATTATGTTTTAATTACAATATTCACTTGAAAGTAAATCCCTGTTCAGCGTTGCTGTAAATGTAGTGATGACTATGCCTCTCCACACTCCTGGCGATGCTTCACCTGCCGCCCTTGTCTCTCAGTGAACCCGTGGCCTCAGCACCCCCCCAGTCAGATGTGTACCGGATGCTCCATGACAACCGGGATGAACCCACCCAGCCTCGCCAGTCGGGCTCCTTCAGGGTGCTCCAGGAGCTGGTGAATGATGGTGAGCACGCACATGCATCTGCTCTCACGTCACTGATAGAGGCCAGTGGGAGGGTGGAGGAAAGGGATGCTGCAGGCACGCTGCGGACCAGAGTCTAAATACTGTTTTCAATCAGTAGTCAAGGATGGTAGCTTGAGTAAGGAAAGAGCCTCCAGGACATCTTCCAGTAGTCACAAAATGCAAATAGTCATTAAAAGGCAACAAAGACAAATTCCATCCATGGCAGTCAAGGGTACCTCTGTTTATGAATCATAAGAGCTAATCTTTAGCATACATTGTACACTTGCTCAGTCTCCCCCTACATTTAGGGTATCATCAACATCAAAGTTAAAAAAAAACTTTTTAAAAAATACCATAATGAATGCACACTGTGTGCTGAGTTCTGTGCAGAGTACTTCATGTATTATCGTTTAATCTTCACCATAGCACAGTGAAGAGCTATTAATTGTCCTCCTTAACACAGGAGAAACTGATGTACAGGGGAAAATGGGTTTGTACAAGACCATGTGGACCCTAAGAGGCAGAGCATAGCCTCTGGTCCATTCCTACTGATTGGGGGGCTTACATGCTTACCCATACTTCTCACCTCTAAATCTACATTGCCATTTAAAGATAACAGAAAAATGGAAAGTGTCTCATAACAATGTGTGTAACAATAACAAAAGCAACAAGTACTGACGAGGATGTGAGGCGTAGTGGGAACCTTGGTGCACTGCTGATGGGAGTGTAAAGATGGTAGAGCCCCTGGGGAGAGCAAAATGCTAGTTCTTCAAAAAGATACACATGGAAGTAACACATGAGCCAGCAATTCCACTCCTAAGTATGCGCCCAGAGCAGGAACTCAAACAGATCTCTATACACCAATGTTCACATTATTCACAGAGTCAAAAGGTAGAAAACAGTTAAATATCTATTGACAGAGGAGAGAAGAAACAAAACAAAATGGGATATATATGACTATCATTCAGCCTTAAAAAGGAATGAAATTCTGATATATGCTGCACCACAGAGCTATCTTGAAAACATTATGCTAACTGAAAGAAATCAGACAAAACAGGACAAATATTGTTTGGATTACTCATATGAGAAATCTATACTAGACAAACTCATAGTGACAGGAAGAAGAATAGAAATCACCAGAGACCATGAGGAGGCGGGGATGGAGAGTTATTATTTAATGGGTACAGAATTTCTCTCTGGGCACAATGAAACAGTTCTGGATGTAGATGCTGATAGTGGCTGAGTAATACTGCAAATGTACTTAGCGCCATGGAATTACACACTTAAAAGTGGTTAAAATAGTAAAGGTGAGCCCGTGTGGTGGCTCACACACACCTGTAACCCCAGCTACTTGAAGGTGGGGGCAGGAGGATCACACGTTTGAAGCCAACCTGAGCAACACAGCAAGACCTTGTCTCAAAATAAAATTTTAAAAAGAGGAGCTCACATTTGCTCACAAAGCCCTGGATTCAACTCCCAGTTCCACCAAAACAGAAAAAAAGGAAAGCCTCATGTATATCTTCCACAGTGAGAATGAAAATGAAAGATACCCTCCGCTGCTTTGAGCATTTGTAATAGTTTCCTCCAATAATAACCAAATGTTTAAGGAGGTCTATTTTAAAAGCCACTATATCAGAACCAAGTCTCTGCTGCTTCCGTTGATCCCACTCCTCTGGAAATGATAGTGCAGATGCAACTTCAGAATTCCTTAGGTTAAAGTGCACGCTTGAAAATAGAAGCACGGTGCAGCCTGGAGCCAGCTGTTCCCTCACCATAAATGGAAACTGTTTGCTTTTCAGATGACCGCCCTGCGGGGACTCGCAGCGTGAGGGCTCCGGTAACCAAACTCCACGGTGGAGCTGGCGGCGGTGCTCAGAGGATGCCACTCTGTGACAAGTGTGGAAGTGGCATTGTGTACGTTTCATTTTTAACCCAGAATTCACTTTATAAGGCTTGGTGGAGGTTTTCCGTTTCTCCTACTTTAAGATTTACACTGAAGGGCAATTATGAAAAACTTAAATTTCTATTCATCAACTAGAAACAGAATCTTCACAACATTTAACCATTTTGACCAACATTCCTGAGCTGTAAACCCAAACTGGCATGCAATTCGGATCAGCAATCCTGACTTTACTTGCAGGTATACTCTCGGGGTTGGGGGGCACTTGCCCCAAATGTGCATTTAAAACTTTCCAGGAATCGTGATTCCACCTTAAAAAGCACCCCCCAAAAGCCCTCTGTTAATGTACAATCTTCAAATACTTCCTTTTCTGTACAAACCAGGGAAACACGTAACAGGAGCCTGCAAATTATTAATCACAGCATTATTTTTACCCAGTTTCTTAGATCACACAGATGTTAAAATAATTTCTAAAAATACAGTCCACTTCCACACACTTGCTGTTCAGATAGCCTTGCTGGTATTCTGATCTTCAAATGAACCAGATGAATTTAGTCTCACTGGAGCGTGTGTCCCGCAGGGCTGCTTCGCCACCTCTTTCCTCAGTTCCTCTACCTTCAGCTCAGAAACTGAGGCAGCATCTGCCGGGTTATTCGGGACACAGCACAGGAGGGAAGTGAGGGAGGAAGCTCCTCAGAACCAAGCAAAAAAAGTGGGACAGAAAGGGGAAAGCGAGGCAGGGGTCTTGGCAGTAGAGAAGACCTCAAAAGATCAACAGTTCTTGATGTCACCAAAAGCAATTATAGTTCCCAAGTTGGAGTAAACTGCTTCCGAAGCCCACCCAGTTCCTGGGGATTCTTTCTCAGCTCCAGAGAGCAGAGGCGGGGCTACCAAGAAAGAAACCCATCAAAGGGGCCTTGAACTGTGTAACCCACACCTGGATCAACGTCAGACTCCTTTTCTAGTCTCTAGCACATCCCTCTTTCAGACAAACTGGGCAAAGGGTCCTCCTCTTTCTGTATAAACCACTTGTTCGAGAATCTGAAACATTTTCACACATCAGCGTCAGAGAAACACGGGGGTTATCTTAGCTTCCCTTCCACTCCCCTGGTAATTCCACGGCAGTGAGCAGTTTCAAGCTGGTGGTGGTTTTTCCCCCGCGACTGTGAAACGGCTGACTCAGCTCAGGCGCAGTGCTCTCCCCTCTGCGTCATTTGTGTTGCTCTCTTTCTCACTTGAGCGTATTTTCCCCGCAGGGGTGCAGTTGTGAAGGCGCGGGATAAGTACCGGCATCCGGAGTGCTTCGTGTGTGCAGACTGCAACCTCAACCTCAAGCAAAAGGGCTACTTCTTCGTGGAGGGGGAGCTGTACTGTGAGACTCACGCGAGAGCCCGCACGAGGCCCCCAGAGGGCTACGACACAGTCACCCTGTATCCGAAAGCTTAGGTCCTTTGCAGGAGGGAGCACGCACGCTCGCACGCGCGCACGCATGCACACTTGCACGAGGAGGGTGTGGATGGCTTCGGACGAGGGATGGCAAACTGTGGGCGCCAACGCTGCAGCCACGGCTTTTAGACTTTCATTTATCACACTGTGTACCAAGGACAGGGAATGTGGGCAAATGTCTGCTCTCTAAAGAAAATGTGTGTTTAGCTATGTATTGCAATTCTTTTTACCTTTGATGATAGCAATAATGACATTTAAAGCAATAATTTTTGTATGTCACATGCCACAATTTACATTTGTAGTATGACCACCCAATGTGTAAACAAGATATCGGGAAGTTCATTGTCTTTCCTTGACAAATTGATTTTTACAATTGTAGAAATACTGTACCAAATACCAGTCGTATATTCTAACATTTAACTATTGTAGTGCATGTCGAGGAGAAATTCTCAGGATTTCTCTAGGCTCTTATTCAAGCAACTGTATGCAAAAAACATAATAAATAGATAAAACATTTTTAAAATATCTAAAGAAGTGGCACTCAATGAATTAAGTTAAACAACATTTCAATGAGAGGGCTCAATCATATCCAACTCAAATATTTGAAGAAATATGTCTTCTTTAGTTTGTTTGCTTGTGGCACTGGAGATTGAATTTAAAACCTTTACACTGCGCTCCAACCCCAGCCTCTTTTTTTATTTTTTATTTTGAGACGAGGTTTCCCTGGCTGGGCTGGGCTTCAATTGGAAATCCTCCTGCCTCAGCCTTCCAACATGTTGACATTACAAGGAAGTAAAACTTTTTGCTTGTAGGAGAATTTAAATTTGCCAATTAATGGAAATTCACTCTTTTTTTATTTTGGTTTGACATAGTTTTTTCCCATTGAAATAAACATTCAGCCAAAAGTCTATCAGACTGTCTCTCATGCTCAGTGATTTACTAGTGCTGCCTCCTCCCCAAGGTGACAATTTGGGGACCTTCTAAGGGAAACAGGAGCTGCTGGTTTCCAGACTTCTACTTGAAGTCTGTTTTCTTGGTATAGTTGGAGCCAGGCAATAACACCCCCTCTACCACTCCAGAACTCTTAGCCCTCCAAGGAGTGAGACTCCTTTGCATCACAGAACTGCACACCCTCTGTCCTCTGGCCCAGACACTCTGCCAGGAAGGCTCTGCTTGGAGTTACCCTCTTCTCACCGAAGGTGGCCCCGTGACTTACAACTCTCACCTACTTTCTGTGTTCCTCACCAAGGATGCATGGGAACTTTTGAAACTGTCCCTTAGAAATTTAAACCCCGGGGAACCAGCAGGGTGTGGAGGTGAGGGCCGTCTGGGGCCCTCTCTTCACCACCTTGTCTCACAGGCCTCTCGACCCCACCAGCCTGGAGCAAGAGTCCTGCTCCCACTGTGACACTAGCTTCATTGTGCCACGGTTCTTCCAAATCTAGCTCATTGTTTCTGACTCCCAACTTCCCAGAGTTTTGACCCAGTGAAAGGAGCCTCCCTGGCCCTCTTAAGCATTTGAGATGGCAGTGCTGCACCAAAACATAAATTTATCAGAAGAGGTTTTAAAAAATAAAATAAGAAACTATTGAGATCAAAGATATGAATGCATCCAAAATACAATAATTTTTATTCAACGGTTATTTTTCAGAATTTTGTTCTAGGAAACTTAACAATTTGGAAGCTAACATTCAAGTGAATGGTAACTGACTTAGAAAACCTAAGAAAGTTAAAACCCAAAATAGCAAAGGAGAAAATGGAAAACCAACCCGATTTACTCAAAGAATCTTAAAAGCTTAAGAGAATTAAAAGCACCAGACACTGCTGGACTAGAGGATAAAGTGGGATTACCCTAAGAAGCTATTTAAAAAGCACTTAGTCCCCTGAGGTTTCCCTTGTTCCTGCTATACCTCACACACACACATGCCCTCACATTCCCAGTGAGTTTATATTATCTGGAAAAGGAGGAATAGTGTCCTTGAACCGGAAGCTGGAAGCAGAGTGACTGACACATGTACGCTACTGAGAAAGGATGAATTAAGAGTAAACAGCTCATGAGAAATCTACATGTTAAACATTATATTGTATACACATGTACAATGTGTATTAGACATTAGATGGTATTTTTCTTAAAATTATATTTCATATGTAGCAGAGTATATAATTAACTCTTTGATTTCAGGTTTAGAAAAGAACTTTTTTTTAGTAAAAATGAAATAGTTCTAACCTCAAATTTAGATAACTTAGACTATGTGACTACAGCTTGGGAAGTGAGCCCCTTTTTGGAGAATTCAATCTAGAAATGTGAACATGTGGAAGAATTAACAGTGGAGTCAGTAAGTGGAAATGAATGTGATATGTAAGTTGTTTTAAAATGAAAATGTTAGTATTGAAATGGAAAGGAATTATAAACTTCTTTAAAAAGCAGTATTTCCCCCTATGCACCATTTTATTTTACAATAATGAATTCACGTCAAGAATTAGATTCTATAAAGAATTTATGAGAAAGAGTGCCAGCTAGTTTTGCTCTAGCTCAGAGAATAACATTTCCTTAGAAAACAAACCTAGTCACTGTGTTGAAATTTATAAGCTCCTAAAAGCTAACGATAATCAATGAAACTAGCCATGATTAAGAACTGAGCTTCTGTGAGCTTTGGATTCATGATTAACTAACCTGTTATTCATACAAACATATGAAGACAGTTATTACACTCTACCATTAGGGTGATTGATTGAATGAGACCAATTCTGGTTATCACATATTTTTGCACCTGTGTAAGCAGAGTCAAACAAAGCTTAACAGTTAGTGTGAACCACTAGTAGTTTACTCATCCCCACATAAGAAAAACCTTCCCGATTTCCCAACATGGAAACGTTCCTACATATGCAGAGCAGAGCTTTGGGTCTCTCTATTAACAACTTTATTTGCAAACTTTTGTGAAGTTGTCTTTGAACAGATCTGATTTCAATCCTAAGGAAAACTGCAACTTGCAACTGTTACTTTTTACTACGGTGTCAGGACCTAACGTTTTTTATTTCTGCTTTGTCATCTGTACCTTAAATATAAAAAAGAAGACTGAACAGGGAATGAGGGCATTCATATAATTCAGTATAATTCAAGTAAATAAGCTGTCTGCTTGACCTATATGATTATGCCACAGTAATGTTCTCAAGGCCCCATTCGTTGGAGAGAGCATTCAATATTTATTGAGCACCCACCAATTTAGGAATTTTTAATAACTGTAACTATATATATATATTAAAAGAGTCTTAAGACTTTTGGAAAATATATATAGCAAAATAGTCTTTTGTCTGCTCTTACAAATTGACTTTTTTTTAATTATTTGAGACAGGGTCTCACTACATGGTTCAGGCTGGCCTTGAATTCATTCTGCAGCCTGGTCTCAGAGTTGCAGCGCTCCTCCTACCTCAGCTTCCTGAATGCTTGGATTACAGGCATGTGCCACCACACCTGGCACAAATTCACTTTTTAACGCTGGCTAGAACGCCTCATGTAATTGATTTGAAAACAAAGTACCTGTAAGATGTGGTATACCCAGTTTATTTATTTCTGCACCCAGAGCAAAATTATATTTTAAGTTTAAAAACTACCTCAGATTCCCATTCTACCTTGTATTGTGAAATATGCAAGTTAGCGAGCACAGCATGTGTATGTTATCTAGTATACGTATGTGTCCCAAGGTGTGCACACACCTGTGTTTCTCTAAAGTGTGGAGAATACCCGGCCAGTGTCGCATCACGATTCTGCCACTCCCTTCAGAGCTGCACAGTCACCCTCTTCTTGCATCCTGGGCTCCAGTTACTGCCAGTTCCCAAAGTTCCCAAACAGCACCATTCAGGAACACCGCTTCATGCAGCAAACCTTCCGTCCTTCCCTGTCCCGATTTCTTGTCCTCGATCCCGATTTATCTGATTAATGCTTGCTTTGCCAGCTAACCTAACAGATTAATTTGTGCTAGCAAGTACTAATAATTTTCTACTGCTCTCAGTTAAGCAAGATATTTGTATTTTGCTCTAGGGACAGTCCTTAGAGGAATGTGGCATGGAATTTTAGATACATTGGTTGAGGGAAAATGTTTCAGTGCTAGGCCCAGAGCTGCTTTCAGACAACACCGTATTATGAATAGAACAAAATAGATCACAGTCTCAATACCCAATTCAGCTACTTGATTTGACTCTAACTTTCACAGATTACACCAGAAATTGAGATACTCTTCTAAATACTGTGATTTATTCAGACACGTGGAATACTAAGATCTGTATAGATCTGTATAAATCATAGATCTGCTTAAATCTGTAGAGCTCCAAGTGTGTGTGCTCATGGATTGGTAACAATAGGATGTTATAGTACCTACACTCCAATACATGTATTCATGGCGGCCACAGCTAGCAAGAAAGGGCACTTTGGGAAATGCAGAGCAGCAAATGGAACTCCAGGCACCGTCTTAAAAGTTAACAGTAGTGTATTGTTATGGATCAGACCTGAAGATCCGTTCATTATTATCTACTTAGAATGAGTTTTAAGAATTATTTGATTAAAGCATAGTTCAGTTTCAGTTTTTTTTTTAATGTTTGTTTTGCAGTCCTGGGAATTGAACCCAGAAGCAGTAAACTACTTCCCCCCTCCTTTTGATTTTTTTTAGTTTTGAGATGGGCTCTCGTTCAGTTGCACAGGCTGGGCTCCAAGCCAAATTCCTCCTGCCTCAGCCTCACTAGTAGCTGGTATTGCAGGTGTGCTCCATCAACCCTGGCCCCATTTTAAAAAAAATTTTTATTAGAGCATAAGAAAAATGTATACACTATGAGTGTACATACAGCACAATGAATTTATTCACAAAGTGAATCAAACCTTCTAACTACCCACTGTTGAAGAGAAAGAGCCGGTATCTCCCTCACACCCCCTGCCTTCTGTGCTTTTTATTCACATCCCTTCAGCCCAAAGCTTCCCACTATACTAACTTCTAGCAAAATTAGTTTTGCCAGAGCCTGAACTTCATATAAATAAAATAATACAGCAAAGACTCCTGTAACTGCTTTCAGGTCCACATCTCTGCCCTTCCCACCACTCTCCATTCCCTTCTGCATTTCCGTGTGTGCGTCTTCCTGAAGAACTCCTTTAGTTATTCTTTAGGGCGGATCTACAAGAGACAAATTTGCTCCAGTGTAGTTTTTCGGAAACTAGTTCAAGATTATTTGTAAAGCCTATTTCAAATCAGTAAAGAGTTCTATTTTCTTGCTCTTTTTTTTTAGTGTTCTTTCATTGTGGTAAGATACATAAAATATAAATAGAAATATTATAGGCAGTCAGACAGGGACAGGAAGTCAAAGGAGCCAGTATGGAAGACAAGATACCTTGTAAATGGAGATGTACTTGCTGTGGGCCAGACCTCAAGACAAAAGATTAAACAAATGCACCCACACACCTCTCTAGGGACGGACATCAGGGATTGATATTCTAAACAGGTAGCGATCGCTTTGAAGAGTCACTGACCCAACCCCCTACAGGAAATCCCCAGTTCTGTATTCATGCCCGCTTGCTGTGTGACTCGCTTCCCCCTCTGATCCTTATTTAATCAATTTTACCTGAACAATTCTTATTGGTTGACCATAGTTTTGTGCCACTTCATGTCCCCTTGTGATTTCCCATTTTCCCCCACCTTGGGCCCACCTCACCTCATGGTTTTTGCTCTATAAGGTCCCTAGGAAAGACAGGTTCCTGGGCAACCCACTTGGGCCCCCCTTCTGTCCCTCTCTCAGACAGAAGCTTTCTTTCCCTCAATAAATATATTCTGCTATTAAAAAAAAAGATATGGGAGCTGGGGATTTAGCTCAGCAGCAAAAGCGCCTGCCTGGCAAGCGCAAGGTCGTGAGTTAGGTTCCCGGGACCGG